GAAAACATTTTCATATTCTTTGATTAAATGATTCAGACATTTACACATGTATTTTTGGTTTTTAATTAATTTTAATCAAACAATACTTAATACAGTAAAGAAAAAACTAATATTAAAAAGGTTATATTGAAAAATAGTCTCTCCAGCATACCTCTTATGCCTGTTCCCTAGTGGCAGCTATATTCAATTCTTTTTTTAAAAGTTATTTAGCCCCTTATCTCTAATGTCCTGATGTGTTGATGTTTCTAGATTTGTGAATTTTGGACAGTTTGTAAAGACTTCTGTTGACTGCCTTCTATGCTAGTGGAGGATTTAGCTGTCTATATTCCTCTTTCTACTTTTCCTTCCTGCATTCTCTCACTATAATTTTATCACTGTTTTTGCTCTTCTTGGTAGATAATGGTTGCATTTTTGAGACTTTGTAAATATTGTTTATTGCTGAGCCAAGAAATGTACTATAATTTTTTCCTTTCTTATTTCACTATTTTTCCTATAATTAATAATAGGCTCAAATTTGTTTTCAGTTGTTTGTCAATACTCTTAAAATTTCCTTTTATATGTACCAAATGCCTAATAGTACATTTTGAAGTATTCCAGTACATCAAATCATGTATCAAGTCAATTTAGTTTCTTTCTCCCAACCTTGTAGGCAATTATAATTCAGCTTCCTTGGCTCCACATTATTTATCATACGTATGTTCTCCATCTTTGAAAATTGTGTTGACACCCATCATCTTCTATTGTCTTTTCTTATATTCACTTGTGGGTTTCTACCTTTTAATTCTTGTATTGTCATTTTACTGTGGTTCTGGAGGGAGCAGAGATAAACATGTTTATTCCCAATAATATTTTTGGGGTGATGAGGGAATAAGAAGGATTTCTGTTTTCTACTTTCATGTACTCCTGTAGTGCATAGTGTTGCAGTTAATTCAGTGCTGTTGCGTGCTGTAAATGTTTAATTAATGCTTATTGAATGTTTTACTTTGTCAGTTGTTACATTCTTGTCCCAGCCCTCACTCTACCCCCAACAATTAAATTAAATTAGGAAATTTAATTTCCTAAAACCTGTCTTTCTCTCAGCTGCTAATATATAGCATAAAATTATTTATACAAGAAGACTATGTATTGATTTGGAAGAAAATGTGAAGTGATAAGAGTAATGTTGGGCCCTTTGCATTTTAGTGATTTATTGAGAGTTTACTGAAAGTTTTGAAACTAGGATCTGGTTTCCAGAGTCTGAATTTTAAAAAATTTAGTTAGGGGTGTATGTGTGTGCACGTGTGCGTGAACACGCGCACTTGAAAAGAGATGGGGGTCTTGCTCTGTCACGTAGGCTGAAGTGCAGTGGCATGATCATGGCTCACAACAGCTTCGAACTCATGGGCTCAAGTGATCCTTCCACCTCAGCCTCCTGAGTAGCCTCCTGAATAGCTGGTACCACAGGCATGCACCACCACGCCTGTTTAAATTTTTTTTTTTTTTTTTTAATAGAGACAGAGTCTCACTATGTTGCCTATAGATTAGATGTGTAAGTTCTCTGTGGAAAATAATTCGTAACTGAAGAATATAAAAGAAGACTTATAGGTTTAGTGTACACAGAGATAGGAAGTGTCATATTGCAAAGATGTCAGTTCTCTTCAGATTAATCTATAAAATCATGATTCCCATAAAAATTTCAATATGTGTTATAGAACATATTAAGCTAATTCCAGCATTGATCTAGAAGAGTAATGGCAATTAAAAAATATGCTTTACTGATATGAAGCTCATTATTTTATAATTAAGACACTGTGGTATTGGTGCAGGTAGAGGCATATTGATAGGGTGGCCATTCATCTTGGCTTGTGTGGAAGAGTTCCAATTTATGCCTGTTATCCTGGCAATTATTAATAGGCCCCCTTTCACTCTAAAGATTGTCAACTGAAAAAAAATATAGAGAGTAATAAGTAGTATTTTTGCTCTTCTTGAGAGTCCTGAAACAAACCCACTAAATTTATGACCTATGTGGTATTAGATAATAGTGGTGAAAAGGTATCATTCAGTAAATAGTGCTGGGGTAGAAAGAAATGTAACTGCCCTTTATCTCACACTACACACAAAAATTAATCCCGGGTAGATTTAAAAACTTGAAAAGTAAAACTTTAAAACTTACACAAGAGAAAATTAGGACACTATCCTTATGATATCTGGGAAGATAGAAATCATAGTATAAATTATAAGACTACATTAGTATATATATATATATATTTTTTTTTTTTTACAAATAAGAAGGACATTAAAAGCAATGGAAAAACAAGCCCACATGCAGGGAAAAGAGATTTGTAACACATAATAAAGAACTAAGTTTGAGTAAATAGAATCCCTGAAGATTAAACAAAAAACAGTGTGCACACAGTTTTTAAAACGGCAAGGGATATTAACAGGCATTTTATAGAAGAAGAATCTAAGATGACCAATGATACCAATGATAATATGAAAAAGGTTCTCAACTGTACTCGTAATCATGCTAGCAAAGTTGAAGATGTCTGTATCTTTCATCTCAGAAATTTCACTTCTACATCTGTAGTCTGGAGAAGCATTCACATATGAGTACTAGAAGACAATTATTAAAATATTCATCTCAGCATTCCGTGTTTTAACAAAATAAAAATGGGAAGCAATCAAAATTCCATTATCAGGAGAATTGATAAGTTTTGACATGTATGTAATTAAAATTAAAATTAATGAATCAAAACAATATGTACCAAAATAGATAAGTTTTAGAAACATATATATATATTTTTTTCTTTTGGAGACAGTTTCTCATTCCATCACCCAGGCTGGAGTGTAGTGACACAATCATGGTTCACTGCAGCCTTGACTTCCCAGGCTCAGGTATCTTCCCACTTCAACCTCCCAAATAGCTAGGACCTCAAGCATGTGCCATCCTGCCTGGCTAACTTTTCATTTTTATTTTTTGTAGAGAAGGGGTCTCACTGTGTTGCACAGGCTGTTCTTAAACTCCTGGACTCAAGTACTCCTCCCTCCTTGGCCTCCTTTGGTCTCCCAAAGTGCTGGGATTATAGGCATGAACTATCACACCCGGCTGATGAAGCATAGTATTTGAATCAAACCAAGCTGCAAAAGGCAATACACAGTTTGGTGTCATTTATGAAGTTTAAAGACATTTAAAGTGTACATAGTTTTGTGATGTTGTATATAGGCATAATAGTATAAAATATGCATGGATACAGTAAACACCAAATTTAGGATAGTGGCTGTGTCTGGGTAGTGGAGGGAAAGGATGAGATCAGGAATGGTAATAGAATACTTATGTTTTTCAGTACTATCTGTGATGTCTTGTTAACTTTTAGTATTTTCTATTTTATTTATATAGTATTATGAATAGAGTATATTCACATTAATATGCTTTATGTATATGTATATATTTTATACTTACTGCCTATAAAATAAGCAAAGATATTATTGATGCATATAAATCCATCTTTGCAATTCCTTTAATCTCCTTTACAATCTAAGAAATACTATACCAGTAGAAGTAATTTGTAGTGACTGTATAGCTTAATTTTTAAGATAAATAATAAAATATTTTTTCCTCATCCAAAAATGGTCTTAGTAATTGCTAAGCTTCCTTCCAGAACTAAACTGTACTCCTTTGATGTTTCCCCTACATCAGATCTTTTTTGACAGGTTAGGATAAAGTCAAATGTTGAGGATTATAAAGCTAATTCCCTATACAGATTGTTGTTTTCAATCTGCCTGTCTGTTTAGCAATCATCTATCATCTACAATAGGTGTTTGAAAACTTTTTCCATAAACTGCCAGAGAGTAAATATATTAGACTTTGTAGACCATGTGGTCTGTGTCACAACTACTCACTTTGCCATTGTAGTGTGAAAGCAGATATAGGCAATACCTAAATGAATGGGCACAGCTGTGTTTCAATAAAACTTTATTTACAAAAACAGGCAGCAAGCTAGATTTGGCTGTGGGCCATAATTTACTGACTTGTGATATACAACACACTCAGAGAAATTGCTTCAGTAATCAAAGTAATATTGTTATAATATTTTACCCATATTATGGGTGGTAAAACTGAGGCATAGAGATCTTAAATGGCATTATTCAGGTTAAATTGAAGTAGCCCTCCCATATTCCTGTAATTTACATGGCAATATAATTTTTAAAAAATATGTATAGGTTCTCCAAAGATTCTTTTTCTTCCTCTAAAAGTGGAGTGAGTTGGGTGGGTATAATCTCTTAGTTATTCACAATTACAACCTTTAGTATGATTAGAAGCTTAATATTGTTAAGTCCCTGAGAATCTTCTTTACAGAACCATTTTATATATGATAATTTTTTAAAGGTTTGCATTCACATGCAAAAACAAATACAAAAGCTGGTATATGATATAGTTTAGATTTGAATATCTTACACACCATTGACTTAACGTCCAAAGACAGTGAAAGCTTTAAATAATATAGACAATCTATTAGGCAGTTGTTTTAGTTCTTCTGTAAAATCAACTTTATGAAGCAATTTCTTTGTGTTGTCATGACCTGCAGTAATTGAGACTTTATCTATCTGCAGTTATCTTAGGGTCTAGAAAGTATATTTTTCCCTGTCCAGTTTCATGGGCTAGAGGATAGTATTTTTTATGGTTATCAGGTAATGATGACTCTTCTGTATGCAGAAAGTAGGTCTACCATAGTGACATAGGTTTCTGTGTAAATCAAAAGGAAAGATAGTAAGATTAATTTAACCAGAATGAAAATAACCACACTACCTTTTATCTCTAGAAGAATACTGAAATTACATGTGTTTGAGAAAGTTTTAATATGAATCAGAACCAGGATTTGACTTAATAAAGTAATTAAATAGATGTTCTTAGAATATTACTTTTAAAATAAGTTGAGATTTTTTTTCGACAAAAAGAATACCTTACCAAGCAACGAATTGTTTATTTTTCCACTAAAAATTGAATGTATTTATTTTTTCAGAGACATTAAACCTGACAATATACTGATGGATATGAATGGACATATTCGGTTAGCAGATTTTGGTTCTTGTCTGAAGCTGATGGAAGATGGAACGGTAAATAAAGATAAATACTAAATTATTTTATTCACAGACGTTTCCCTTGCCATTTGTCTTTTATATCTGTTTTAGAAACCATCTATTTATACTGTCTACCCGTCCATCCATCCATTTGTCTATCTATGCTCCACCTCCTTCCACAAAGGGATTTGGGCATACTTATAATGGGGTTTGTCTAAAAAGTCACAAGTCATTTCAGCTGCTTATATCAAAGATCTTAAGACTGATAAAATATACCCTTTATGAGACCCTTGTTTGCTCCTTCTTTAGCTGGTGACTTCTGTTGTATTTCAGATATTTCGAAGTTCACCGGGGGTAAAAGAACTAAGTCTCACATAGAAAAAGAAAATGCAACTTTGTCCTCACTTTTACTTTTTTTTGTTCTTTCTTTCCTCATTGCCTCGTTATTCTCAGGGACAGTGTTCAACAAATGAATCCTTTTTTCAGAGAGTTTACAAGTTGATTTAGTTTCATGTTCCCATTTGCTTAACTTTTGCTAAGCTTAAATCCCTTGTTTTTTTGTTGTTGTTGTTTGTTTACTTAATAGCTGGGCATGGTGGTGGGCGCCTGTAGTCCCAGCTACTCAGGAGTCTGAGGTGGGAGGATCTCCTGAGTGCAGGAGGCAGAGGTTGCAGTGAGCCAAGATTGCACCAATGCACTCCAGCCTGGGCAACAGTGAAGTCCTGTCCCCCCCACTCCCTCACCCCCACAACCAACCCCCCTCAAAAAAAAAGCTGGGCATGGTGGCTCATGCTTGTAATCCGTTGGGAGGCTAAGGCAAGAGGATCACTTGAGCCCAGGAGTTCAAGACCAGCTTAAGCAACATAGTGAGACTCTGTCTCTATTTTAAAGAAAAAAAAATAAGTTTATATGCCAAGTTTTATTCTGTTATTTTTTTTAACTTCATTTTTTTTCTGGCCGTATAGGAGAGATCCAAAAATATATCAGTTTAATTGACAGAAACTTTTTGGAGAACAGTTTAGTATAATACATTCCAAAAGCCATGAAAATGTCACATTAGACCAGTAATTTTAACTTTGGAAAAATTTTATTCTTTTTGTTTTTTTAGACGAAGTCTCACTCTGTTGCCTAGGCTGGAGTGCAGTGGTGTGATCTTGGCTCACTGCAACTTCCGCCTCCTGAGTTCAAGTGATTCTTCTGCCTCAGCCTCCCAAGTAGCTGGGATTGCAGGCAAGCGCACCATGCCTGGCTAATTTTTGTATTTTTTGTAGAGATGGGGTTTCACCATGTTGGCCAGCCTGGTCTCAAACTCCTGACCTCAGGTGATCCACCCACCTCGGCCTCCCAAAGTGCTGGGATTACAGGCATAAGCCACCGTGCCCGACCGACTTTGGAAAATTTGTCCTACAGTGATAACTTTGTTAAAAAGAATTATGTGACTTCTGCCTCTGGCCATGATGGAAGGAATAAATTGGTACCAAATTAGCACCCCCACTATAAGGAACTATAAAATTGGATACAGTAGTTGAAACAACTGTTTTCCAGCAGTGAACAACAGGCAGCATATGCTATTATCCCTGACATAAATGAACTCATGAGGTATTCCTCACGATTGTGCAAAGACTGGGACAGTTCCTGACTCTGATGCAGAAAGCTAGAGTGAAAGCAGAGCTGGACTACCTGCAACAGCTGGAATATTCAGGGCTTAGCATTGGAGAGGAAGGAGTTGTACAGAGAGAGGGCATAAAGTACCTCATGAAGGTTGGGCTGTGCATTGTACTACAAGACCATATGAGGCTTGACAATAGCAGATGATAGCATTTGAAAACAGACCAGAATACTAATCATCAAGCAGATCTCCCAGGTGAGAAACAGTGCTAGGGGAAATTGAATTTTCAGCCCTGGAGAGCCAGCTAACAACCTTTGTATCACCTAAGACCTACTCTAACCCTGACTAACAACCTAAGTCCAAGCCCTGATAAGATCCACAGAGTTTGGAAGTCTTCCTTCCAAGTAGAGGGTCTTATGACAAATCTTAGATTTTCGTATGAACCTACAATCACAGAGTATATGTAAGCCAACTCATGGTCAAGGAGATCAGTCAGTAATTTTTTTATGTGCTGACATAATTATTTTTCTTCATAAGAAGGTAAACTCAATACTCTCTATAACATCTTATTCACAATGATCAGGATTCAAAAAAAAAAAAATCACTGAACCAAACAAAAATGGGGATGTGGATAGTGATGCAGAGTCAGATAAAAGCAGTCAGTAGAGGCCTGGCTGGCACACATGTTGGACTTAGCAGACGGAGACTTAAAGAAGTGATCATAGGTCAGGCGCAGTGGCTCACACCTGTAATCCCAGCACTTTGGGAGGCCAAGGTGGGTGGATCACCTGAGGTCAGGAGTTTGAGACCGCCTGTCCAACACAGTGAAAGCTTGTCTATACTAAAAATACAGAATTAGCTGGCCATGTCAGATGTGGTTAAAGTGCTGAAAACTAAAGATAAAGACATTTAAAAGCAGCCAGAAGGAAAGACGTATTACATACAGAGGAGAAATGGTAAGGACTGCTGACGTCTCATGAGAAATCATGGAGTGATATCTTTAAAGTGCTGAAGGAAAAAATGTGTAAACAGGTTTCTGTATTAAGAAAAATATCCCTCAAAAATGAGGGTGAATTAAAGACATTTTCAGATAAATGGAAGATGAGAAAATCTCTAGCAGGCCTGGATGCTAAAGAATGTCCTCCATGTCAAAGGAAATGATACTGTTTGGACATTTGGATTTATAGCATAAAAAATATCTTATGCAGTAAATAAGTGGGTAAAGAAAATGTCTGTACTGTCTCTCTTATTTAATTTACGTAAAAGGTACCTGACTGTTAAAAGCAAAAATAATGTAATGTGTAATTATTTGTAATTTGGGGTTTGTGACATGTAGAAGTAAAGGATATGACAATAGTCACATAAACAATGGAAGATGTGTATATGGAATTATACTGCTCTAGGATAATTGTATGTAGGGAGTATAAAGTGAGAAGTGGGTAGTGCCAGGTATGACATTGGAAGAGGGAAATAGCATGGTAGTGTTGCTGAGTTGAGAAAACAGAGATTAAAATCAGGGAGGCTTTGGCATCTGGAAGTTGGGGCCACCATTTCAGAGAGGATAGAGCTGCAGGGAAAAATAACTCCACGGAGAGAGCTAGTCCTGCATGTTACAAGCCCAATGGACTCAAAGCTGGAGATAGAGTCCCTGTAGTCTGATGTTTGCCATTCTAAATTCCTTTTGAATGCATTTGAAATGCAAATTCCAGAATGCATGAGTAGTATTTCTGTCTCTATGAGTTTCCTCCAATTATATTTGTTCCTGAAAGTCTGGTGTGTCTTCCCAGTCATTCATTCTGATTTTGCTGGACGATAGGATATTTTATGTTTTGTTTCTAGCACACTTATTGATGAACTCAAAATGGTTTTCTTGGATGTAATATCACGTTGGACTTCCGTTTTCAAAACCATAGGCTTGCACTTATAATACCAGCACTTTGGGAGGCCAAGGCGGGAGGATTGCTTAAGCCCAGGAGTTTGAGACCAGCCTGAGCAACATGGCAAGACCTCATCTCTACAAAAAAATAGTTAGGCGTAGTGGCATGCACCTGTAGTCCAGTTACTCAGGAGGATGAGATGGGAGGATCGCTTGAGCTTAGAACCTGGTCAAGGCTGCAGTGACTGTGATGGTGCCATTGCACTTCAGCCTGGGTGACAGCAAGATCTTGACTCCAAAATAAATAAATAAAAAATAAAAAGAAGTAAAAATTTTAAAAACACTATAATGAAGAAACCTTGTTTTATTTTATATTTTTACATTAATTTTTAGATTTTATTGTCTTATTTTTTGAGGCAGGGTCTTGCTCTGTCACCCAGGCAAGTGCAGTGGTGCTGCTGCTGTCTCTTAATTATTTATTTTTAGATACTATCTCTTCATTTCCTACCATGGTAGATGAGGATTCAGGTCTCTTGCTCTGCTCTTGCCCAACCAGTACACTTCCTCTCTGTCCTCCCAATGTAATTATCACACAATCCCTCATTAAATCCTGTTCAGTATTTTATTATGATGATACAAATACTCATTGCCGTGTCATACAATTTGTTTTAATTGCATTTCTTTTCTTCAAAACCTTTTTATTCTTCCTGGTGTAAGTGACCACTTTGCTCTGCTTAATTTTCTGTGTAATTTTCACCAATTTATCCTCAAACTCTCCACCACATTGAATTACTTAGTAAAAGGAATTTAGCAGCTCCTTTTTTTCCCATGGAGATATTCATACTGGGGTCTTGCATTCTCCTAATCTGGACTATTTGTTCTAGAGACCTACCGCAGAGGTACTATCCTAGGACTACCTTTCATCATCTTCATGGAATTTACGTTGTTCTCTAGTATCGGACTGTGTTTCCTGGATCCCATTTGGTGATAGCTGCCTGAGGAAGGTTCCATTGGAAGTAAATATTTCATAATCTTCCATGTCTGAAAAATGCCTTCATATTTTATTGATAATTTGTCTGGACATAGTATTCTAGATTTGAAACTATTTTTCTCTTAGAATTTAGAAGGCATTATGTTGTCTTTTAACTTACAGTGTTGCTGTTAAGACATCTGATGCCATTCTGAGTCTCAGTCCTTTTATTACAGCCGTTCTCTCTATCTTTGGAAGCTTTTAGAATGTTTTATTTATTCCCAGTGTCCTGAAATGTTATGATTGTTGACTTTGTGTGGGTCATTATTTATTATCTGGACAGCTGCCTCAAATCTATGAGGCTTTCCCAAATTTGTGACTTTTAAATTAAGTTTCAACTTGCTTTTTCTCTTATGTCTCGGTCAAAACCGTACCAGCTGAATCACTTTACCTTAAGAAGTCAATTTCTGGTGGTGAAGTGTTTGCTATAATTCTTTTTCTTGCTCTAAAATTATCTTGGCTATTCTTGGCCCTTTATTTTTCTCTGTGATTGTTAGGATTATCATATTGGTTTATATCCA